GTGTGAGTGAAGAATCAAACTTTACTGAGTCGCTCTGCTGAGGTTTCAGGGCTCCTTTGTTCCTGAAGCACAGCCTTGCTCTGTTCTAACTAATACCACAAAACTTTAGAATTCAATTCTTAAGAAGTGAGCAAATTCTGAGATGTTACTGTTGAGGGTAATTAGTGAAAGATGGAAATGAAGAGTTGGGCATAGACGGCATGAAAACAGGTGGCAGAGAAACTGCAGACGCTTTATGATGAAGACTTGGGAGAGAAGAAGGAAGCTGAGAGACAGTAGACTCAGGCCCTTGTGAGTAAGGGGATGGGGTTGGTGGGGGAGATAAAAGAAGTCAAGTTGTTGAAGTTTGATATTAATGATCAAACAGAGATGTGATGCATGTTGTCAGGGCAGGAAGTCAAGCACACTCCCTCCTGCTTTCCACTGACTGACATTCAAGGCTGACACTGTGGTTCTGCGTGGCTGGTCACTGTGGCTGGGCTGCCTTCCTCCTTTCCTCCTGGGAACGCCTCTGCCAGGCAGCACCCTGTGCTGGATGGGGCCAGTGCCGCCCCCTTGTGTTCCAGAGAGTTCATGATTATGGTGAGACATGAATTCTCCTCTCCCCCTGGTTCATCAACTCCAGCTCATTGATACTTGCCATGTGTGTCCCATGGAGTCTTTCGTGGCCTCTGTAGAATAAGAGAGGAAATGCCATTGGGCAAGGGAGGTGCACAGAGCTCAGGATGAAAGGCAAAGACTGTGAGTGAATTTATCCAGAGATAAGATAGAGCCTACCAGAGCCAGACAGCCTGGGTTTGAATCCTGGCACCACAACTTAGCAGCTGCGTGTCCTTGGCCAAGTGACTCCATCTTTCTGTGTCTCAGGCTTTGCATCTGTGGAATGGGGCAATAACAATACAAACCTCAAGGGTTATTGGGAGGATTAATCAAATTAATCTGTAAGGGATGCTTCCAGCAGAGCCTGGCACTGAGTCAAGGCTCACTGAGTCTGCTCTTGTTATTCACCCTGCCTCTCCTAGCAATGCCTATGGGGGCTGTGGGCTGGTGTTGGGGGACAGAGTTGGGGTGGGGATGGGGATGTTGATGGGGAATGAGAGAGAGCTCCTCTGATCTCCCTCCTGTGGGTCTGGCTGCCTGGGCCCTGCCCCTGCCCCTTCCCCAGCCCCACCTCGCCCAGCTGGGTGACTTTAGGGATTTTACTCAACCTCTCTGTGTCTCTGCAAAGGGAGGCCAATAATAACGGTACCTACCTCAAAGGGCTGTGTGGAGGATTAAATAATCAATTACAGGTACAGCCACAATCACTATGAACCAGAACTTTCCCCTAAGCCTTCTTGAATTTCTTATCCACAGAAACCATGGAACACCATGAGATGAGTATTGTTGTTTAAGCCACTCAATTTTGGGGTGATATGTTACACAGCAGCAGTAACTAAAACATGAACATGAGAGGACCCCTTCTGACTGTTTTGTGACAGAGCAGGGGCAAGACTGAAGGTGTGTCAATGTTCGTCCCAAGTGAAAGCAAGGGATGAAAGCCTGAAGCAGAAGCTGTTCCCAACTGGTAGGAACATTTGAAAGGTAATTTTGTGTCATTTTTTTAGATTCCACCTATAAATGATGCCATGGTATTTGTCTTTCTCTTTCTGGCTTACTTAACAGTATGATAATCTCTAGGTCCATCCATGCGAACTTATTTACAAAACAGAAACAGCATCACAGACACAGAAAACAAACTTATGGTTACCAGGGGGAGGTAGGGGGAGGGATAAATTGGAAGTTTGGGATTTGCAGATACTAACTACTATACGTGAAATAGATAAACAACAAGGCTCTACTGTGTAGCACAGGGAACCACATTCAATATCTTGTAGTAACCTATAATGAAAAAGAATATAAAAAAGAATATATATATGTATAATTGAATCAATGTGCTGACCAGAAATTAATACAACATTGTAAATCGACTATACTTCAATTAAAAAAGGGTAATGATGACAAATTGCTGAAGACTGAATGTAGACTAACTTGAAAGTTAAAGACTTCTGGGCACCTAGTCTTTTTTTTTTTTAACATTTTTTATTGATTTATAATCATTTTACAATGTTGTGTCAGATTCCAGTGTAAAGCACAATTTTTCAGTTATACATGAACATATATATATGCATTGTCACATTTTTTTCTCTGTGAGTTACAATAAGATCTTATGTATATTTCCCTGTGCTGTACAGTATAATCTTGTTTTTCTATTCTACAGTTTTGAAATCCCGTCTATCCCTTCCCACCCTCCGCCCCCCTGGCAACCACAAGTTTGTATTCTATGTCTATGAGTCTGTTTCTGTTTTTTATTTATGCTTTGTTTTTTTGTTTTTGTTTTTGTTTTTGTTTTTTAGATTCCACATATGAGCGATCTCATATGGTATTTTTCTTTCTCTTTCTGGCTTACTTCACTTAGAATGACATTCTCCAGGAACATCCATGTTGCCGCAAATGGCGTTATGTTGTTGGTTTTTATGGCTGAATAGTATTTCATTGTATAAATATACCACATCTTCTTTACCCAGTCATCTGTTGATGGACATTTAGGCTGTTTTCATGTCTTGGCTATTGTAAAGAGTGCTGCTATGAACATTGGGGTGCAGGTGTCATCCTGAAGTAGGATTCCTTCCGGATATATGCCCAGGAGCGGGATTCCTGGGTCATATGGTAAGTCTATTCCTAGTCTTTTTAGGAATCTACATGCTGTTTTCCACAGTGGCTGCACCAAACTGCATTCCCACCAGCAGTGTAGGAGGGTTCTCTGGGGACCCAATCTTAAGGTCTGTGTACCATTTTGACAAATGTCCTTGGGGAGAAGACTATTCATGCTGACTGTGTGAACTCTGAGTCAGGTCAAGTAAAGACAGCCTGGAGAATGGGGTCTTCCAGGGACAGTCAACTAATGATAGTTCTCTGGGAAGGTGGCTTTGAAGTTGTTCAAATCAACCATCTTCTGCTTGTCTCCGTGCCTGCCAGGCTACCGGTTTTCACCAAGAGTGTGGACTTTTGGTTTTCAAATCTACTGTGGAGCTAGAGCATGGGAGATAGGTAAGCTAAAATGCCACAAAGCTCGTTGTTCTGACCAAGATTCATCAATTTTTATTGAATGGCCGCCTTGCCATCCCAGATTATTGCAATTCTGGAGAATTTCAAGAGTTCTGAAAAAATTGGTTCTGACAATTTTTGCCCACTTTCTGACCGTTTTCATATAGGAAAGAATTGTTGGAGGCCTTTAATCTGCCATTGCCACTGACAACCTTCTGGAGAGCTTTTGAAATGTGAAAATGTCGCTATTAAAAGTCATAAATGTGTTCTGATTAACCTAGGCACTTGGCAGATTATTTTGTATCCAGGGGAATCTTAGAATAGTTAATTAGGAATTGAAATTGTTCGGGGAGGGAAGGACACATCTGTGGGCTTTAGAAAGAAGTCTAGGGGGCAGTGGGAACATCGGATCCAGAGATGGGCAGTGTGTGTATGTCTAGGCGGGAGTGCAGTTTGGTGCCGTGGTCAGAGGGCAGCAGGACCACATGGGCATGCCTGTCCCTATCCACCGTGATTCTTGGGGCCTCCGTCATGGGGGATCCTCAGTCCTAACGTGAAGTCTGCCCAGAAGGGACAGAAGGTAAATAACTGATGCCTGGGTTCTCTCCAAGCCCCATCAGGTTCTGGTTGCTGGTTTCCAGTCTGAAAGGTCTTTCTGTACTTCAGGTCATTGACTAGATGGTCACAACAATCATTCAGCTGCTTACAGATCTTAACTACTCACCCTGGGTTCAAAGATCTTCTACTTCTGTGAGTGTGGAAGATGCCTCCCCTCTTAAATCCTTTCCCTATGTGAAAGGTAATTTTGTGTAAACTTCTTGCCGTTCTGAATCTGCTCATTCCCACAAGGCCGGGGGCTCTCCCAAAGAGCAAGGGACGGGTTTTCTGTGAAGTCTATGATATGTCAGTCCTTAATTTGCCTTCTTGTTCTCTGTGACCTTGTGCACGTCATTCACATACAACCCAAGGCCTCATCTGTGCAGTGAAAGGATTGGGCTGAAAGCTGAAAGGTCCTCTAAGGACCTCAAACAATGATAGCATATTTATTTTTTATTTGGGGGACAAACTCCCCCAATCTGGTTTGCTCTGTTCTTCCTTCTTGCGTCCATCTTTTTCATAAATCTTATCTGCATTCAGTCTCAACTTCCTCACATCCCTTGTCTTCTCCGTTCCTTTAAAGTCAGGCTTCTTCCTCTAAAAATATCACTCTTACCCAGGGCGTCAATCATCTTTTCACCCGCAACTCCAATGACCCGTTCCTGAGCTTATCTTTCCCAAGTCTTTCAGCAATGAACACTTTGGACCCCAGTTTGTCCTTCCTCCTACACTTCTTCCTTGCCATCTTTGTCACCCTCTTGCTGAGAGAACAGAGAAGAGGCCAGTGTGACTGGATGCACGAATGCAGAAGAGGACTGGTGGATGGCTTGTACCCATCAGCTTCCTGGACCCGTCCCTCGGGGTCTCCCAGGCACTTCCAGGCAGTGTGGCCACAGCTAAAGGATAACCTTCCTGCCAGAATCAGCTCATCTCCCACATTTACAGTTACCTTTGGGATCCCTCACCTGAGGCATGGGAGGGAGCCTCACTGCTCACTCACCTACACCCTTGTAAGTCCACCTCCTGAACACCTCTCTGCTCTGCCATTTTCACATCTTGTGTGGTAACCTGGCATGTCATCATCTCTGCCTGGAGAGTTATGTCTACCCAAAGGCCTGTCCACCCGCCTAAGGACCACAGAGCAGTCACTCTGAAATCCACACTCATTCGAACACCTTCCTGTTCTGCTTAAGGCCAGTAAGATCTCCAGTGTAAGGTCCAAACTCTGGTCCACGGCTCCACCCCCCCTCCCCAGACCAGGCCTCTTTCCAGCCTCTGAGCCCTCAAGTGATGGTGAGGAGTGACGAGGCTCCTCATACAGAGAAAGCAATTTTATTTTGCAGGGAACATGGAAAGGAACACATGCGTGGTGGGAAAGCCGGGAGAGCTGTTTCCTTGGGGAGAAGGCTGCTCTGGTCTCCAAACGTGGCTGTGTCATTGTCTGGGACTTGGGCCAGCCTGCTGTGAGCCCTCAGCAGCCTAGCAGTGGATCAAGCAGCAGGAAGTGTTTCTGCTGGGAGAAGACCCCAAGCGGAATGGAGAGTCAAGGTCACTGACTCTTGTTGGTATTGACCCATCGTCAAACCTGACTCCAGGGTTGGGAGGAGGCTGAGACCCTGGGCCTCGGGTGTCTTTTTTCAGCCACAAGCGGAGCCCAGGCCCAGGGTCAGGGGGCTCCTTGTGTGTATGTTTGAGTGAGTGTGTGTCTGTGTGTTCACATGTACTTGTGTGTGGTGAGTTTGCATATGTGTGTGTGTGTGTGTTGATGTGAGTGTGTGGGCTGGAGTGTGTGTGTGTATGTGTGTTTCTCTTTGTAGCTGTGTTGTGGTGCCGCCTCTGTCTCTCCACCTCTGTCAGCATTTCTGTGGGCTTCTCTGTGCCCCTCTGTGTGTGTCTACATGGCTGTTGGTCCCTCTCTTTGGATGGTACTGTCCCAAATCCCCCTGCTGCCCCTACTAGAAGAACAGCCAGCCCCCTGAATCCTGGGGAGTGGGGAGCAGCCTCACCAGCTCAGCAGAGGCCAGGCCCTTTCCCAGAAGGCTTAGACCTTGATGACAAGTTGGCCGGAGATCAGCTTACCTGGAAAATGGAAAAAAAACAAACAAACAGGCAACCACAGTTGAGAGTGATGGTCTCAGTGTGAAGGAGTCCAGGGACCTCCATCTTCCCCTGGAGGCCTGGGGCCGGGGAACGGGAACTCTGAGATGCAGTCAAGCTGAGAATGGTCTTAGAGAGGCCACATGTCCCCCACCAGCCAGCCCAATTCTCAGTGTCAGGGACGACAGGGAGAGACAGGGCCTAAGCCTCAACAGTATCTGGATAATTCAAGGCAAAAAAGAGACTTGGAATGGAGAGAGTTTGAGGCTGGAGGGACCCAGCTGTCCTACAATATGCAGGACAGGGCTCCTTGGGGGACATCACTGCTCCTGCAGAGGGGAGGGAGAGCCTGGGAGTGGGACCTTACCGACAAGGGACTGCACCAAGGAGACATCCAAGTGGCTGAGAGCCTCATTGACCAGAGGGCACACCTGTCCCGAGGTAGAGAGGGGAGTTAGGCCAAGTGGCACCTTAGGGAGACCCCAAGGTTGATATTCTGGGGAGATTTTCTGTCATTTTTCTGTGTCTGAGAGTGTTTGCTTCTAAACAAGCCCACAGATGAGCGCTCACACTTCCATACTGGGCAGAAGAAGAAACTGAAGGCGCGTGTGTGGGGTGCCCGATCACACAGGGGGCTGTTGTTCATTCTGTGATCTGACATGTTTCTGAACCGGGTGAACTGCTCTGGGAGTGATGAGTATCTGGTTGTAGGAGACACCCAAGCATAGGCTAGGTGAGCACTTGTCTGCAGCCATGGCGGGGTGGGCTGGGAGCTTCCTGGGGCAGGAGCCAATCTGTTTCAGCTGTAGTGTGGACACGCACAGGGCCTGGCCCAGAGCAGAAACCAGTCAATGCATTTTGAAGGATGGAAATAAGAAACATGGACAGATGGAACAATGGACAGATAGACCAATAGATGGAATTTATTTATTCAGCCGAAGGGCTCAGAGAAGCTAATCCCAGGGGCCACTTTCAGCCAAGGATAAGGAGCCTCCACTTTTACCCTACTTACTTTGCCCTGCACCAGCTCAGGAAGGGATTTATCCAGGATCCTGGTGATGCTGTCAAGAAGGTTTTGAGCAGGGAGGGAGACAGGTCTGCAAGAGAAAAGCCATGGGCAGTGCAGAGGCCTGGGCTTGGTAAGGAGAAGCCTTCAGAGGGCCACTGTGCCCACTGCAGTCTCAGCACGGAGTTACAGGAACGGGGCCTCGTCCATCCACACTGACATGCAGGCAGGCAAGGGGCCCATGCAAAGGGAGTGACCCCCGACAGCAGTGCATTCACCAGGTACATAGAGAATAAACACAAAGTGCCAGCACACAGTAGACTTTGTTCAGTAAGACTTTGTGGAATTCATAAATGAGTGAACAGTACTTAGTATGTCATTATCATGAGGCTTCAGTGAGACGATATGTGTGATGCACGATCTAGGTGTTCAGTAAATATTAGCCATGACGGAGAAAACTCCTAAATTCAGGCCTTTGTCTACCTTGCTACAGTAACTGAAGTAAGTAACTCAGGCAGGTTCCATAGCTATTTTACCCCTTCTTGGGACAAAGCACATTCACACCTAGTATCTTTGGGGATTCCATCAAGAACTCCATGTAGCTCCATATTACAGTTATCTGAGTAAGTTGAGACTCAAGCTGGGGAAGCACTGCCCAGATTCACTCAGGAAGCTCTCCACCTCTCCCCATTCCCCACTGGAAGATGGGGCTTGAACACAGATTCTCCTTGCTTAATCCAGCATAAAACTGGTCAGCCTAGCCTAAGAGGGGTAAGTGACAATTTACCTATTCATTCATCCAGCCATCCACCCATCCATCCCTCTATCTGTCTTCTCTCCCTTCCATCCTCCACTCATCCATTCTCCCATTCTTCCATCTTCCCAACCATCCATCCATCATCCCATCCTATTGTCTCTGGGCAGGAGCAGCCACCCCTCTGGCCTCACCCATCAAGCAGGGAGATTTCCAGGCTGCCAGGGGAGTGAGTGCAGTCGCCAAGGACCAGGTGGACATTCTTCTGGTCATCTTCCACAGCTTTGACCTCTGCAGTGATGTTTAGCTTCACCTTCAGCTTTAACAGACTTCCGACCAGGGGCCTGCAGAGGAGATCATCTGTTGCATCTGTTCCAACCACATCCCAAGGCAGAAGAGGCTTTTCCCCTTGACAGGAATGCCAGCCTCGCCTCACTCCATCTTGCCCACGGCTGTACTCATCTCATTTTCCAGTAGGGGAAACCAAGGCTCAAAGAGGTTGAATGAATTTCCCAAGTGACCCAAGGTCACTCAACATGGCAACAAATGAACCAAAGTTGAAGAATCAGTCTGTTATGTAGACTCCAACACCCTTTTTTGGCTACCCATGGTCATCTTTGGTGAGCCATCCTCCCATGCCCCCTTGGGGCCCACTCACGTTTTCACATTGATGACCAGGCCCAAGGGGATGGTGACATAGAGACGAAGGTCATCAGGGTTCTGCACAAGGCCAAGTTCCAGCAGCTGGGGATCAGTAATCTTCAAACTGCCCAGGGAGAAACATTGGAGGGGAAACATTCAATTCTCCAGCCCTAAACCTAGAAAGCACATTTAACCCAATCTTACCCATCCAAGAGGTGGAGCTACCCATGAGGTGGGATGGAGGAGACAGGAGGGGAGTCTTGCAGCAAAAGACACATGGGTTTTGAGTCCCACATCAGATGTTCCCTAGCTATGCCCTGGGTCTGATCCTGACACACACATGGCCATCTCCTCACCACAAGTCTATGAGGTATTCCAGGATAGAGACTGGGTCTGGATTATATTTGCAGCCCGTGTGCCAGCTCAGAGCCTTACAAAGAAAAGGGCTACTCCATATTGGTTGACTCTGTGGACTGATGAACAGATAGGTAGATGGATATGTGGGTGGATGTGTGTAAGTAAAGTGATTAGACGGAAGGGAGGATGGACAAATGGGTGTATGGGTGGTAAGTGGATGAGAGGATGATGTATGGGCAACTGGAGTAAGTCCTTCACAAACACTTGTGGGTAGGAATCACTTATTCTGCCCCTCCTTCAATGGCAGCTCAATTAACAATGTTTATCATGGAGATCAAGGAGCAGGAAGTAGGGGGGAGTGGAGAGAGGTTGGGAGTAAGCCTCTTTTCTCTGAGCTAACCACTGTGCCAAGTGATTTACACCCTCTTCAGTCCTCCCAATAATCTTTCTCTGTGGGTACCATAATCTTCATTTTGCACGTGGAGAAACCAAGCCCAGAGAGACTGAGTACCTTGTCCCTGGTCATCCAGCAGGGACATGGTTAATAGAAACATCAAACTCAAGGCTATTTGTCTGTCTTTGAGTTACGGGCAAACACCTGAGTGGGTAGGAATTTGGAAAGTGGCTTTTATCAAGCCCATGAAGGACCCAGGCTTTGCCTGCCCACTGGCCTCAAGCCCTTTCATCATTGCTCCTTGCTTAGAGAGCTCTTAGGTGGCTCCTGGATTGTTCATATTGGATAGATTGTTCCATGGACATCACATGATGATGTAATTGAGGAGAGCATCTTACACTTTCTTGCTTACATCAAAGGCCACCGTGTTCTAAGGGATTTCACAGGTAAGGAGAACAAAATTACCATGGTGTAGAGGAAAAGGCCTTGGCTTTGGACTTAAGTAAATTAGAGGTAGATCTCCTTATTCTAGTGGTGTGAGTACAGGCAGCTTTCTGGGCCTTGGTTTTTCTATCTGTAAACTGGGGATTATTAAATTGACCTCAGAGGGTTAGAGTGAGGATTACAGATGATGCTGGGGACTCAGGACTGGGGACAATTGCTGTTTCAAGAGGGCTGGTGTTCCCTGCTAGACTGTGAGAAGGGTCTCAGACTGAGTCCTGGCCTCATGTTCAGACCACCACCCTCCCTCCTTCAGGGCCACTGCCTGGGGCCGTCACATCTCCAATGGGGGTTCTCGGGGCGGGGGGGGGTGTCCCAGGCCCTATTTTAGGGCTACTCACTCAATGATATTGTTCAAGAGAGAGGTCACTGAATTCACTTTCCTAAACAGGCCTCCCACCAGGCCACTGGAAGCATCCGCTCCAGACTTCAGGGTGTCCAAGAGCGGAAGCTTTTGGAGACTGTTCAACAGACCCCCAGAGAGCAGGTTGTCGCTGAGACCTGGAAATGGAGATGGGGTCCTTGGGGGTCAGATATGACAATTACGAGTCTTCAGTCCTCTCCCCTTTTGCCCCCATCTTCCCAACCACTGGATAGTTGGACACACACACACACACACACACATATGCACACATATACACACCTGAAAGTGTTGTCACAGACCCTCACTTACCACTAATCAAACTTGCAGGAAGATCTGAAAGAGTCGAAATAGGAACCGCGGGCAAGTTGTCGTCCAGGGGCAGTGCTCCCAACTGTGCCGTGGTCTGGGCCAGCAGCCCACAGAAGACAATGAGGCCCGCAATTTGAAACATTTTCTCTCTTGGTATCTATGGACAGGATGTCAGGTCCAACGTGGCATGGGGACCAGAGAGGAATTCATCCGCTGCCTACCCCCATCCCCAGCACACCAGGGAGTGGATATCAACAGCTAACACCACTCAGCCTTTCCTCAGTGCCAGGAGCCAGGCAGAGTGCTCCACACTCAGTGACTGATTCCATCTTTACCCTCAGAGGTAGGCCCTCATCACCTGCATTGCACCGGTGAGGAAATGGGGGCCTAGTGAGTTTAGGTAAGTCTCCCCAAGGTCACAAGTACACAATGGGGATAGAAGTTGAAGCCAGATCTCTCTGACCCAGAAGCCTCTGTTTAAGTGACCATCAGATTTCCTCTCCAACTGGCCTTGCTCACAATGGCTTGAATCAGGCAAAGCAAATTAAAAGGCTTAAACATGCTAGTGGCTGAGGAACTGGACTGCTTTGCCACCATCCTTCCTAAGTCTTTTGGTCTGTGTGTAGCCTGTGAGGGTTTGTGGAAGCCCTTGCAAGTCATGAGAATATCAAAGGTGGCATGGTTGTAGCTACCATCTCATCCAGACGACTGTTTGGAAATACTGGGACCATCCAAAGTCCTCACTGCACAAGGAGAACCAGAGGACCAGAGAGGGGTAGTGACTTTCCCAACACCACACAGCAAACTGATGGTAGAGTTGTGGTTGGAGGTAGGTCTCCCTCCTACCCCCGACCCCTACCCCAAAACATACACACTATCTTTTCCATGACTTTCTTTTCTCCCTCAAGATGACCTAGAGGAACTTGTGGGCCAGCCCCTGACATCTGCTTGTCTTGTGCACCAGTCCCTTCCCAGCCCGCCAGCGCTCTCAAGGGTCTATTTGGAAGCCAGAAAATGTGTCCAAAGATGGAGCTAGTTTCCACACTTTGGAGACACTTGGCTGCTTTGGACAAAATTCCATCAATTGGCTGATTTGACCAAAGTGCTATCATTGCTGTGGCTGAAATCAGAAGGGCTTTTTGTTCTGAAGAGACAATTGTGGCCTCCCTGGGGAGGTGAACTTGGCTTGTGGCCTCTGAATCTCTTTTGGGCAAGAGATCTTTTAGCTAATGGAAGCTAAGGATTGTTGGTCTCAGAAAAATGTACAAAATTGGGTAGATTTTAGGTTTGTAGCTAATGGTCTGAATCCACAATGACAGCCTCAAGTTAAGACTCTTGCCATAGAGATTTGGATTTAGGGCATGAGGAGCGGGCCCACGAGAGAACGCTAATGTGGAATTCAGCAGTGCGCCTACAGCCACCTGCTCCCCAGCGCCTTCAAACAGCCTGCTGCCAAACACTTCTACGTCAATGTTACTGGTCTCTTAGGGAAGCAGAGTGAAGAAGGGCCACCCCCATCTCCCCAAAATGGCCAGTCCTGTTTCTCTTGAAAGACCCCCAAAGAGTGATGCTAAACGCGGTCAGCCAGTGCTACCCCACAGCGAGGAGGTGGCACCTCTGCCGCTCGGAGCCGGGGTAGAATGGGCGGATCTAACCTGGGCTTCTCGGAGGTCCCGGTGGCTGTCCTAGTCTCCTCTTCCCTCTCCTGCTTGCTTTGGTCGAGGAGGCAGCCTCTTTTATAGTGTGGAAATCAGGAAACATGTGATCAGATTATGGGTTTCTAGCAATTCAGAATTCTGCAATCTGGTGGTGTCTTTCAGCGCTCTCCAAAGTAAATAATTGCCAATCACATTCATAGGTGGAACAGTTAAGCTGTTTGATTGACAAGAGAACAACTTGAGATGGGAATGTAACTTAAGACTTTATGGTTTATGAGTCGGGCTGGGGCTGGGCACCCACACTCCAAGGTGACCTGGAAGATCACATTTGGAACACCAGGAGAGGCAGCTGGCGGAGCCTGGGAAGGCACCTTGGTCTCATATCCAGGCTCTTTCTCACTCCTGGTCCACTGATTTTTCTCCAATTGGAGGCTTCTTGTTCCCAGCGAGTCAAAAAAGAGTCAAACTGCCTCTGATTTCCCTACATCTGGGATGCCCCTCAGTTCCGGGGCAGGGGTCTTCTGGCTTCTGAACCCCAGTTGCCTTACAGTCACATGCTGGGAGCTAGACAGAACCCCGGGAGGGAAAGATTACTGCTCCTCCTTTGCAGAGGAGGAAACTGAGGCCTGGCAGGCCAAGTGTCCAGGGATGCAGCGAGGACGGGGCACAGTTAGGACTCAACTCTTCAGGTGATAATGACAACAAACCCAGTGTCAACAGCTAACACTTACAGAGCTCCCGCTGAATACCAGTCCTGGCACTGTTTTTCACATGTAGCCCCTCACGAATCCTCACAACCCTGTGTGGGGTGGCTGTGAGCACCCCATGTTACAAGGGGGAAACTGAGGCTCTCCCGAGTGTGAGGTGACACGTCCAGAGTCGCACAGTGGGCATGGAGCCCAGGCATCCACACTCTAGTCCTTTCTCTTAATCAGTTGGCTGAGAGGTGAGAACACCTTCCACATGCCCAGAGCATTTTACGTCCCCACGTGTGTGAATGTCACGCTCCCACGCCTCCCACTTTGCAGAAAAGGCTTTCCAGTTTCCCAGGCCTGTGGGACTGTGTGGCATCCTGGTCTTTGCCCTGACCCTTTCTTTTTCCTTCCCCAAATGAAGTAATAAGGCCTTTGTCCCCCTGCTTGGGCCGTTGGGGTCTATTTTACAGATGGTAAAACGGAGACACAGGGAAGTCATGGTCTTAATCCGGTGACAGCAGCTCTTGCCCTGCAAAACTAAACCCCTTATAATCAAAAGCAGAGAGAGAATGAGGAAATGTACATTTATTGAGCGCTTACTATGTGCCACGTGCTCTTCATATTTGAATTTCGTCTTTGTCGGGAGTGGTTATTGTTGAACCTTAAATGTCAGATAAGAAGATTGAGGTTCAGAGAGGGTGATTACTTCCTAAAGACACACAGTGAATGAGTGGCGGGGTCAGAACTCGCCCCCGTGTCTAATGCCCATGTAATCAGTGAGCCACGCTGCCTTCCCCTCCTGCCAGACCCTCACTGGAACTGCTCCCACTTGCTGTGAGTCCGGCCAGTGCCTCTGAGGGGCCGGAGCCGTGGCTTTGAACTCAAATATCCACTCACACACTCACGAGACTCTTCCCATAGCTTGTAGGTCATCCTCGAAGGGGTCCTAGTTTTTGGTTATCTTGGTACAACTCTTGTGGGTTGAGTCAGGTTTCTGCTATCTTTGGGGGAAAACGGAGGCAGATAAGTCAAGGAATGGGCTCAAGTTGGTGCAGCGAGTTTCGGGACAGCTCACCGCTGCTGGTTTGAAGCCAGGAGGCTGTTTGTGTTATGACAGAAAGGAGATGGATTTGGGCTCACATGGCTCTGGTTCAGATCCTGTGACCCTGGGAAAGTCACTCCAATCTTTTGACCTTCAGTTTCCTCATCTGTAAAATGAGAGGGTGATATTTACCTCAAAGGCCAGTGGGGGATAATATCTGGGGAGGTGCGTGAATTTTGGTTCATAAACTCATGTGTCTACGTGTTTCTTTTTTTTTCTAATGTGTGTATAGTTTACTTAGCATTTCAAATGTCATTTTGCTAAGTAACAGAAACTTCCCCATTTCCCTCTGGGGTTTTATTTCTGTTCCGGGGGTTTTATTTGTGCCAAGGCATCTGAAAGAGGCTGCCCTGTCCCTGTTTTGACTGGAGATATAGAGACAGTCATAGGCCATCTGGTCTCTTGACTGCTGAGTCCATGTGCTTTGCTTCCCTTCTGTCCAAGAAGCCCCTTTGAATTTAGCATTTACTTTTCACTCTGTTGCAGGACACCCCAAATTTTCTGCATCTCGATTCCTTGGGCCACAAGCAGGACCATGGGGGCACTGCCCCAGACCATCTGCCTGGACCACTGAGACCCTCCAGTTAACCTTCTCTCCCTGGGGTCCCCTCTCCAGGCTCTGGAAGGGAACATGGGCACAGTAACTCTTTCTCTTGAATCCGTACCAACACAACATGGGAAATTTTTTAGTCTTGAAGGCAGGAAATCTTGCTTCAATTCCTTCAATGTTGCCATTCTTTTTTTTCGAATTTTTTTTTGTAGGGGGAGGTCATTAGATCTATTCATTTATTATTAGTTTTGTTTGTTTGTTTTTTTAATGGAGGTACTGGGGATTGAACCCAGGACCTCATGCATGCTAAGCTTGTGCTCTACCATTTGAGCTACACCTTTCCCCACAATGTTGGTATTCTTAATGTCCCCTATGTTCCAAGTTTTGAACTTGAGAAACCCAGGCTTAAAAATTAAAAATAAAACCTACAGTAAAATTAACTATTTTTTTTTTTTTGGTGCACAAGTCAAATGAGTTTTAACGTGTGAAAAGTTCTAGGTAACCACCATAATAATCAGGATACAGAACAGTTCATCACCCCCCCAAACACTCTCATGCTGCCCTTTCATAGTCACACCCTCCCTCCCCTTCCCCTCAACAGACCAACACTGATTTGTTCTCTTTCACTACTGTTTTGTCTGAGACCAGGCTTTGGAGACTCAAAAGCCTTCTCTCTGCTTTTACTGAAGTTGTCCTTCCTTGAAGCCACAGGTGCTGCCTCTTCCACTGCCTAGAGCAGTGCAAGGGTTATGGGGCACAGGAAATGTGGACAGGCACGTAGCTGACATTTCAGGGCAGTGCTTTCCGCATTGGTGATGTCAGTGACATCAATGCCTTCCCAGTTTGTTTCTCAGAAACTGGAGGTCACGCCCTTTCCTTCCTACACATCAGATTGTGATGGCGTTTGGGAGTCTGTACTGGTGACATTTTGTGAATCAAGAGATCCATTTTTAAAGGGCAGAGTTAATTTTATGTTTCAAGAGACTGAACTACGTATGCAAGATCTGTTCTCCGGAACGTGGGAGTGGGATGCTGGTTTCTTCCCTGGGAGATGGAACTCTGCAATGGAAGGGCATGGAAGTCACGAGCACAGACAGTTATGAGCTGGGCCTGGAGCAAGCTTCTGAGTATTGGGGGCTAAATTTCTGCTTAAATTACCCGCGAACCTGGACCCCGGTGTCATAATGGAGCTCTGTTGTGCGACAGGGTCTTCCAGGAGAAAACATGAGTCTACAGCTCTGTGAGCCTTAAAATAAAAGAAAATCAAATTTGAGAAACCTAAGGGGGCCCCTTGAGAAAGCCACCCCCGGAAGGTGTCGAGGGGAAGGCACACAAAACCTGTCCCCACCCAGGGACCAGGTAAGCTTGCCAGAGGACGGGGCCCAGCACTGCCATGTGTGCTCTTTGAATCATGAGGAGGAAAACCCCCGTAAACTCAAGGCTGTCAAAGGGAATCCTTTGTGTGAACCTGGGCGTTTAGGGTTACAAACCTCTGGTGAGGCATTTCAGCTTAGGGAGTCTGACCTGAAAGATGGAGACATGAGTATCTCATCTCATGAGCTGTTGACACTTCCTTGTTTGAGCTTGTCGACCTAGCTGAACTCATGTTGCATCACTTTCCACTCAGTGCAGGGTGTGTGTGTCAGGGAGGGTGTTAGGAGGACAGGAGGGAAGACTGAAGGGGCGATCACTGTGGTCAAGACTGTGGGCTCTGGAATCTGGCTGCCTGGGTGCTGTCCACTTGGTCATTTCCTGGCTCTGTGACCTTGGGCAAGTGGCTTTCTCTCTCTGAGCCTCAGAGGCCTCATGCATAAACAGGGTTGCAGTTTTGTATTTCTTGAGGTTGCTGTGAGGATTTGACAAGATGCTGAATGTAAGTTCATAGCACCAAGCTTGGCACATGCCGGCACATGTGGTGCTACTATTATTAATGTGCATGTGTGTTATTCTGCCTTGATTTCTCAGTATGTTTTCCCTTCCCTTGGGTGGAAGAGGGAAGGAATCGATATTTAAGAATTGAATAGTCATTAGTCAAATAATTAATGAATTATGTGGCTTTTAGTAAGCATTTCCTCTAGGAGTTTGGGATTAACAGATACACATTACTATATATAAAATAAATAAACAACAAGGACCTATTATATAGCACAGGGAACTATTTCTTGTAATGAGCTGTAATGGAAAAGAATCTGAATATATACATATGCATGTATAACTGAATCGCTTTGCTGTACCTGAAACTAACACTGTAAATTGATTACACTTCAATAAAAAATAGGAATTAAAAAATGTAAAGATTAAAAAATAAGCATTTCCTATGGAGCTAGTGCATGCTAAACATATTGCAAAATTTTTTTTCACATACTCCTACAAACATCTTGCATGGTAAATGCTTTTTCTTTTCAAACTTTTTTTTTGGTTTAAGTAAAACATACAGAAGAAAGATGCACAGAAGTGAATAGTTCAATGAATTTTTGCAAACTGAACACCCTCCCCATAATGAGTACTCAGATCAGGAAACAGAACGTTACCAACCCTCCAGAAGCTCCTCACGCCCCTCCCATTCACTAACCCTCTCCCCGAGGGTGACCATTCTCTGGATCTCTGACAGGATGGAGCAGGTTGGCTGGTTTTGAGCTTCATGTAAATGGGAGATGTGTGCTTTTTTCGCTCCTGGTTTCGTTAGGTGTGTGAGAGCCATCCGTGTGGTGGTGTGTGGGTGTAGGTCATGTTCATTACTGTAGAGCATTCTGCTGGTGACTTTCCTGCAAGACACTTACCCACTCTATTTACCCATTGTTTTGATAGACATTTAGTGAGTTTTTGCTTTGGGGCTGTTATGACTACCTCTACTATGAACCACCTTGGACATGTCCTGCAGTGGCCACGTACACGTGTTTCCAGGGTGCATGTACCTAGGCATGGGATTTTGGGTTGGGGGAGTTATAGGCTGCACTTCAGAAGATGCTGTAACCGAGTTGTATAAAGTGCTGGCACAACTCACCTCCCACCAGCAGTCTGAAGGCTCCCATTGCTCCATCTCCTGGAAGATTTCCACTCCCATTTGCAGGGGAGGAAGACCAAAAGTTAATGTGTCTCAGCCCCATCACAGCTAGTGAGTCAGAACATTGGGATTCACCCACGTTTAACCACAGGTATTTGCTGAGTTCACACTCTGTGCCAGGCCTCGGCTGGGGCCTTGGGGGTCATTGGTCACCCTGAGGCACATGTCCACACCCTCACAGAACTTCTCATTGGGCAGAGCTGAATTTGAACTCAGATCCGTTTGGTGCCAGTGTTTATACTTACCACTCTGTCACCATTTTCCCACACCCCCTTGGGGCCCAGCGAAGTGTTTGGCACATGTTAGGTGCTCAGAAAATCTCAAGTTGAATGAATGAAGGACTGGGAAGCCCCAACAAGACCTCTTCTGCACTGATGGGTTTCTAGCTGCAAATTACAGGAAAGGAAAGTGTTTTCTCTAGCATTCCTGGGTTGACGAGCTAACCCAGGTATACTTAGTCTTGAGATGAACCTTCATTAGGTCTAACTTCTGGAACCCAAACCTCAGGGCCCAGCAGGGGATCTCTGCACACTTTAGAGCTAGAATTTATTATGGAAGAAGACAGGAGGTCCACAGGGCCTATGTTAAAAGCTTTCGGGGCAGCAGAAGCCCCACTCTGAGGGAGACTTCATGTCCCCGAAGGTGGAATCTCCTTCTGATTATCAGTGAACCGTGGGAGGACACTGGAGTCTGGCTCGTGGAAGGTTGGCTGGACTCAAAATTGGTTGAGTTCATGAGCAGTCTCCTGCTCTGTAAGGAGAAGAGGCAGAGTTAGTCACCAAGTGTCTGCCCTCCAACCCCAGGTCCACACTGAAGGGGTGTCTCTCATCCATCCCTGCCAACCAAGGCCCTGTGCCAGGAGCATTCGCATTAAAACTCTTCAGTTGATATCTAGTTCTTTGCTTCTTGTGTCTTCCATGCACTGAGAGCTCTGTGAAGGTGAGGACTGTATCTCTTTATCTGCAGCAGGAGTAGGGGATAGGCTCAGGTGGGATGGGGCCAGTGCTCCCTAAAGGATTGAGTGGAGATCTTGGGAGAATCTCTGGTCACCTGGTGGTTTGGGTGACTTGGTGAGGGCACAGCCTGCTTTTGAGGGGTGCTTTCTGCTGTCCGAGCTCTCTCGGGGGACAGTGATGGACCCCATCATATGGTCACCTCAGAGCACATGTGGACACCCCTGAGCAGGCTCAGTGGGGGCGGCAGCCAAGGCTTCTTTTGTGGCCATTTTCGCATCCTGAGCACCCCCTCCCCAGAGGGACACAAGCACCCACTCACCCATGAGGCTTTTCAGGAGTTTCACATCCAGCTGCCTGAGGATTTCATCGATCAGAGGACACACCTGGGCCACCAGCACAGAGCAAAGAGTCAGAGCAGGGACTGGGAAAGGAAAACTGGGGGGCTTGTGGCCAGAGGCCATTGGATTTCCACAAGGACTCATGGCAAGAGTGACTCCCTTGTGCAGAGCCCCAACTACGTGCCAGGTGCCATGCACAGCTCCTCCATGCTTTGTCCCCCTGCATCCTTGTGACATCTCTGCGAAATTGAAACTGTGAAGGTTACCATTCCTCAGGTGGGGAAGCTGAGGCTCAGGGAGGCTGCGTCATTTGCCCAAGGACACACAGCCAGTAGATGGCAAAACTGAAACATTTAATTGAGATTTCTCAGGTTCTAAAGCCCAATTCTTTGCTGAAATGTCAATAAATATGCCTTGACCCTCCGACTCAAGGATGCCCAAGGCGAAAATATTTTTCTCAGACTTACCTGACTTTCTATCAGGTGTGGGATAACTTTTTCCAGGTTCTCTCTGAGGTTGCGGAGAAAATGTTTTATCTTTGGTGGGATATCTCTAGAAAGAGAGGTATTATGTGCGGAACAGAACAGATAAATACAGGCAATACTAACGCCAGGGGCCGTGTGTGGCACACATCTCACACAGCCATTTAATCCTCAGCCAGCCCCACGTAAGGGGCGTCATTGTAAGCAATAGTCAGTGGGGCAGCTCAGAGAGGTGATGTGTCTTGCCCAAGGTTGTACAGCTAGTAAGTGCTGATTAGATTAGAACCAGGTCAGTAGCACTTCAGAGTTCAGTCTTTCTCCTCTTTGTGGCTGCCTGGCATGATCTAGGCATTCAGTGAATGTCTGATGAATAAATGAATGAACATCCACTGAAGACCTAGTTGCTTTCAGTGAGCTGGAATTACAGAGAGAAGTAAGACACAAATCTTGCCCTTGAGGGACTCCAAGTCTGTTGACATTGATATCCTTGGGTCAGCCAGTCTATAGATCTTTATTTAGATTTATTTTTCTATCTTACTTATTACTGTATCCCTAGCATCAAGTACGCTGTGACTGACACATAGCAGGTTCTCAGTAAGTATCTGTTGAATGAATGAGTGAGGAGGAGGAGCTTCAAAGAAGGAGGAGCATTCAGGCAAAAGGATCAGCATGTGCCCAGGCACGCTGGTGTGGAAATGCATGGCGTGTTGATCGAGGGGACATCTTTCAGAAGGACTCGAGGGCACAGGGCTGCAGAATGGGGCAGGAGACAGGACAAGGAGGGCCTTGAGTGACACCCAGGAGTTCACTCTTCATCCAGAGGGCATTGGAGAACCATTGGAGGGTTTGGAACTGAGGCTGGGGAACATGACCATATTTCTGGGCTAGAAAGTTATGTCTGCTGCAAGGGGAGAATGGAGTGAAGGAGGTGAGGTCTGAGACAGGGAAAACCAAAGGAGGCTCCCGCAATGGTCCAAGAAGTGGATTCTGAGCCAGGGCAGTGGCTGCAGGGCTGGAGAGAAAGGCAGTAAGTGAGGAGTGCCAGGAGGTCATTGATGACAAATGATGAAGAGGGGCTGGCTTCTGGGAGGTGGCAGGACATCCCTGGGATGCAGATGCAGGAGGAGGAGCAGATCCAGGGGAAAGGGTGAGATCTGTTTTGGGCTCAACCAGGAGGTGGTGCGGTCGTGGCTGGGGCCAGTGAGGGAGGGGCTTGGCCCTGGAGAGGGGCCACTGGGACCTTACTCAGTGAGGAATTTCGTGTGGACGCTGCTGGGCTCCACGCGGCAGTGGCCTATCACCAGATCCCTCCGGCCAAACTCGTCTTTCTCCAGCCGGAACTCCACAGCGAGGTTCATGTGTGCGTGTGTCCTTATGATCTGGTTATTGAAGGGCCTGGGGGAGGGATGTATGGGAGGAAGGGCAGGAGACAGAGAGAAAAATAGAAGGAGGAGAAAACAGCCAACATGAAGAGTGGCTCTTTCAACAAACCAGCCCAGTGGGCTCCGTGTTGCCTGCATGTTAAATTCTTCGGTCAGTGATTAAAGAGAAAAATGTTATTAGCCATTTTTCTGCATTTTCAATCTGAAAACCCTTTAAATAGACCAGATTAGTGGGCCTTTGAAAATTCAGAAGTGGAGAGTTAATTTCATTCTAAAACTCTTTACCGTTAAGAGGAGACCTCCCTTTTTGGAGGGGCAGCAGATGTTAAAGTGTAGTTTAAACAGGAAATAGGCAGGGTGATGAGATCATTAAAGAGTTTCCCTCTCTCTTTTTTTATATCAGCATAGGGAACTCACATAGGTGTAAATGAGCAAATGACCTGCCTCCACTGACCAGTGATCGCCATCCATATTGTAGCTGAAGAAACCAAAGCTCAGAGGTGTGAAGTAACTTGCCTAAGGTCACACAGCAAAAGAGTTCAGAAACCAGGATTTGAAACCTGGTTGGCGTCAGAAAGATCTAGTTTTCCCAGGCTACCAAATTCTCCCTCCTCCCTGACTCCCAGGTTCCAAGTGAAGAGAAACAGTGCCTCTCAGACCCCGTTTCTGTATAACTCACAGTCTCAAGTCAATATCAAATCCAAGTGAGATGTTTGCCAAGAACCACTCCTTATGGAAAGACGTCCGGATCCTGCCATAGTCTAGCTGAACGTTGGTGATGTTGGCACTACACAAGGGAAGAGAAGAGGCGCGGCAAGAGTGAAGGACCTTGGACCTCAAGGCCTTGTACTGACAGACAAGGCTGGCCCATCTATTAAAAGGGCCTGGCAGTGGGATTTGGAGTCAGAACCTTTTACAGATGCTCTGAGGGCAAGAGTCCCCTGCAGGAGTCCTGGGCGGCAAGCCATCCCTGCCGGTAACAGTTCCACACAACTGTCTTGTGAAACCCACAGCCATCTGCAGACCCAGACCCTGGGCCTGTTCTCAGACCCAGCCTCCCCCTCTCAGTGGATGGACCACCACCTGTCCAGAGGTCGCAGGCCCAAACCCTGGAAGCTGTCTTCAATTTCTTTCCATCCCTCACCTCCACATTCAACCCATTAGCAAATCACGTTGGCTCTGCTTGCAAAATGTATCCTAAACTGGGCCACTTCGCATCACTTCTGGCGCTTCCATCTGGTCCAGGTGGCCATCACTTCTTGCCTGGAGGTGCTCTAGTTTCTCTCTGGGCCCCTAGCCACGATCTTGGCTGTTCCCCAAATTATTCTCCAGGTGGCAGGTGGAGGGGCCCTAACGCCAGCATTCTCCACTGGTTTCTCAAAGCTCTTGCAGTAAGATTCAAAATCTGCATCACAGCCCCTAAGACCTGCAGAGTCTGGCCTCACCAGTCCCTGCAGCCCCACCTCCCTCCACCCTCCCCCTTGCTCACCCAGCCACACAGGACTTTTTCTCGTCCTCAAACACAATGATCTCCTTCCGACCTCAGGGACTTTGCACTGCCTGTGCCCCAAGTCCTTCCTAAGTTTCTACTTAAGGGGTTATCTTTTTAGAAAGATCCTCCTGGTCAGGCCTTTCATTCTCACCCCTTACCTTGCTAAGTTTGTCTTCATGTTACATCCCTTCACCTGAAATGACTTATTCACTTTCATGGTCTCTCTCACTGACAAGGATGTAGGATCCCAAAAGGCAAGGACTGTGGGTCTGTTTATCACTGTATTCCCAGTACCCAGCCGAGGTGCTGGTACGCAGTAGGGGCTCAATGAATTATTATAACAACTGTCAAAGAAATGAATGAAGGAATGTATTTGAGGCTGCACACATCAAGGGACGCTCCCCCTGGGGAGGACTGGCGCTGGTGACAATGGACAGAATGACAGATTCAAATCAGAGAGAAGGTAGGTCAGGGGCACCACAGGCTGGAATAACAGGGTTACAGTTGAGCAACTTTGAGCCGGGGCAGCTGAGGAGGCCTGTATCCACTGAGAGGAAGGAGCGAAAATGGAGGTGGAGGACAGGCCCAGTTCTGAGAGGTTAATTATGCCAATAGTTGTGCAACCACCAGGGGCTGCAGGGAAAGAGTCTAAGAGGTCTAGGAGGCAGGACAATCATGCCCATTTCACCGATGAGGGCCCAAGGCTGAAGCTCAGGGAGCTCAGATGCCTCGCCCAGAGTCGCACAGCATTCAAGCAATAGACTGGGGTTCAAACATCTGAGTTCCTTTGGCTCCTCAGATGTTTATCCAGGCTGTGCTCTGGGTACCCACGTTATACATGAGGCCACAGTGGTCCAGGAATTTCCCCCAAATTGGTGGCAGACCCAGGATTTAAATGTAGACATTTTACTAGTGAGCCTTCACTTTTAAATTACCCTGCTACGCCTCCTCTTCCAGGGACCCCCTGTCCTGGGCCCCAGCTCATCCTGGTGTTGGGCCTTACATCTCCTCCTTTCAGTCTTCCTTCCCTCCCTCTTCACAGGCCTTGCCCCTCCAGGCCCTGAGCTCTGCCCTCTGCCCTAGAGCTTTATAAAGAGTCCCGGGGCAGGGGATGGGGTTCAGGGTCTCACCTGCCTTCTGCATGCTGCTGGAGGCTCTTGCTGCCAATTAGCCAGCCCACCACCCCCGGGACCATCTGCCCGGAGGCGTTCAGACTGTCCAGGGAGCGGATGTTCTGGATTCGGCTCTCTGTATTGTGCTTCATGAGGCCCTGGGCAATAACTGGAAAGTGACATTGTATGATGTCCTGCAAAAGTGGGGGTGTGAAGCCAAGAGGCCCAGGCTGGCGCACACACGCTTCTGCTGAGATTGGCTGAGTCATCCCCTGCCCCCAACGCTGAGACCCACCTTCTTCGTCTATGAAATTATGCTTGGTGAAAGAAAATAGAAAAAGAAGATGCAAATTGATTTTATGAGGCTAATACAACTTGCTTCAAGAACAGTACAAGGAAAGAAAGTCACACATCGATTTTGTGCATGAAAAATTTGCTAAAATCCTAAATAAATTGTTCGTTAACAAATCTAATAGCTAATGGTACATTAAAAAAATCACATTGCATTGTAAAGTATAAATTTTAGTTTGATGCATTATAAATACATTATAGTACGTTATAAATATATGGTATGTTATTAAAAAATCATGTTTATTCCGGGAAAGCTAGGTTCGGTTCAACATAAGAAAATCTATTAATACAGTTTATTAAGTGAATGGAACAGAAGAAAAAATTCATTAATTTTTAGATGCAGACAAACACTTGTTAAAGACAAACACTGATTTTATGATTAAGAAAAATTTAGGAAACTAGGAATATAAGGGGATTTCCTTAACATGATAAAACTATATTCAAAAAACCTACAGAAAATATACTTAGTGGAGAATTCTGACATATTCCATCCCTATAGGAGGCCTAGCTGTACTGCAAGATAAGAAAAAGGCACAAGAAAGATAAGGTTTAGAAGAGAAAAGATAAAACTGTCAATTTGCAGATGATATAATCCTCTACATAGAAACTTAAACAGAATAAATAAGACAAACTATCAGAAGTAATAAGAAGTCAGCAAGACTTGGGGGGAGCAGATTAATTTTTAAAAAATCAACAACTTTCATCTTGCCTATACCAGCAATATCAACTAGAAAATAGAACAGAAAATTAGGTAAGATTCACTGTGGCAAAAAATACCACAGATTCTCTAGGAATCAATTTAATAAAGCATGCTCAAACCATTTATAGAACTTCAAAATTCTACTAAAGGGTATAAAACACAATCGGAACAAATTGAAAGATACACTAAGTTTGTAATTGGGTGACCTAATACGGCAAAAATGACAATTCTCTCTAAATTAGTAAACAAATTTAGTGTTAAATTAGTTAATTTCCAGAAGATTTTTTTCTTTTGGGGAGAACTCAACACAGTCAAAAATTCATGTGGAAGAAGAAAGGTCTACTAGATAAAACAAAATTTTACAAAGATGTAGTATTTAAAGTGTTATGTTATTGGTGTAGAGACAGCTACACAGACCCAGAATACAGAACTCAAAAAGGGATCCGCATGTTCGGAAACTTGATCATTTGGCAGATGGGTTGAGAAAACGGACTCACGTGGAGAGAAGTGAAGCTGTTATCTCTATGAGCATACATAAACATGGCTTCCAGACTGCCTCCTATAAAGCTATTAGAAAAAAAAAAAGTAGAGCAAGTCTGGGGAAGAGACAAGGGCTTAAGACTCACCAAATATAAACCATGAGATGAAATTTTGTTGAGTTTGAAAAAATTCCTGTTCAGTGAAGGATCTCCAAACAGAGATAAAGGATGACAGTTTGGGAGAAACGTGAGCAACACTTAGACCCGACAAGGGACTAACATCACGAACAAATGTACGTCTCCTCAAATCAAAGAGGATCAAAATGACAGCAACAACAACAACCCCAGGGAAGCAAATAGGAAAACGGGCAAAAGATAAGAACAGGAAATTCAAAGAAGTCACAATGGCTAAAAAAATAAGTCAAATTGCTTAATCTTCCCACTAATCAGATACAGTCAAGCTAAAACCATTAGGTATCGTTCAAATATGCATTAGACTGGCAAAAAATTAGAAAGTTGATGTTATGTATTGAATTGTACTCCTCCTCCACAAACTAGTGTATTTTAAACTTTAATCTCCAACATGACTATATTTGGAGATGGGGCTCTTAAAGGAGGAGTTAAGGATAAATCAGTTCCTCAAAGTGGGGCCCTAAAATAATGGGACTGGCATCCTAATAAAAAGAGAGAGAGATATCAGAGTGCACTCACTCACCCTCTGTGCACACACAGAGAAAAGGCCATGTGAGGACACACTGAGAAGGCGGCCATCTGCAAGCCGGGAGGCGAGGTTTCACCAGAAACCAACCCTGTGGGCAACTTGATCTTAAACTTCCAGCTTCCAGAACGGTGAGAAAGTAAGTGTGTATTGTTCAAGCCACCTGATCTGTGAATCTTGCTGTGGCAGCCCGAGCTGACTGATACAATGGAGAGGTGGATTCTCCCCAGTGTGGGGAAACATGCTTGTTTGTTACTGGAGCAGATGTAGACCAGCACAGCCACTCTAGGAAGCAATCTAGAAGTCTTTAGTTAAATTCAGTTTGCTTCTGGCCTAGGGACAAGCCATCCCCATTGAGGATATATCCCAGAGAAATTCTTCCACAGATCCTAAGAGAATGTTCATCTCATTGTAGATTATAATAGTAGGGATCTAGAGACAACTGTTCATCCCTAGGAAAATGGCGAAGGGGTGGTGAAATGGATGAATTTCATGGACTTTCCTGCACCAGGCTGAAGCAACAGATGTTAACAGCGTAGTGTCCAGTGAAGGCAGTAAAAAACAATGAAATCTATATGGCAATACCATTTATGTAAATCAAAACACTGCATGTTTTATAAGGATATGGATACACTTGAACACACATATTAAACAGACTGCAGTGCCTGCCAAGGAAGAGGGGAATGGGAGAGAGGATATAAGATAAAGGGGAAAATAACATAAAATTAAACACAATAGGGACCTCGCCATGGTTCATGATAATGATAGTGCACTATGAATAAGCATATGATCAACTCAACCTCAGTTTTCTGTACTTTAGGTCTAAGAAAAAAGGAAGAAAAGAGGGTAAGTAACTGATTCCAGGTCATCCAGCAAGTCAGTGGTGGCGCCCGGACAGTGCTTTCCCCACCCTCCCCATGACAGCGGACAGGGCATGGGCTTAGCTTACTTGTCGCCAGAGCAGATTTGCTGTCTGTGTGGGCCTTGACCAGGCTAGGCCAGTGCTGCTTGTGCAGTGCCGAGGGCAAGGCCAGCAAGCCGAGGATGACCAGGAGCCTCCAGAGTGAATGCATCTTGGGTTCTGGGACCTGTGGGTATCAAGAAAGGTCAGATGGTACCCAGGTGGATGGCTGCAAGGCGGGCCACCTGGATGGATGGACTCATGGTTTTCTCTAGGAAGATGATGCCAGCGTTAGCCCCCAGCTTGCTGAGGGGAGGTGTCGTGATGGGCTCTGGCAGCTGCCACGGGGCTTGCTCACATGGTGAGGGCAGCAGGTGGAACCCTGCGGAGAGGCCAGAGATCTAGAGGGAAGCCTTGTTGCTTGGAGACACCCAGTAGAGCCCACTGTTGGGTCATCCAGTGGGAGTCCTCTCCCAGATCCTGCACGGGCTGGAGGGCTGGACTCCTCAGTGAAAAATAAATGAATGAAGAGATGAGGGTGGCTAATCCAAGGCTTTCCAATTGGACTAAGACATTCTTAAGGGCAGGATCATCTGCAGTGCCTACCACAATGCTTACTTGCCAGAAATGAAGTGCTGATGATTGTTGGTTAAGTGACTAAGTGAATGAACGCATGAATGAGTGAGGATGGCTAATCTCTGAATCCCCCACCAAATTATGTTTCTGGAGTGCAGGATGTAAGTTTAATTAATCCTCCCATGCCTCCCATGTTTACCACATGGTAAACTAGTGATAGTTCGTTGAATGATACAAAGGAATGAAGGATTAATTGGATGGATGAATGGATGGATAGTTTGTGAATAAGATTTACAGGAAGTGGACAAAGAGCCTTAAAGCCAAAGCATTAAGTTTACCTTGCTGCTCTGGGTTTGAGGATCATAGAGAATTCAGTCCAAATATCCCCATCCTCACCGTCTCAAGAAATGGCATCCCAATCCATCCAGCTGCCCCAGCCCCAGCCCCTGGAGTCCCCCTTGACCCAGCTTTCCTTATCTCTCATGACCCATCTGTCACGAAATCCTGTCAGCACCTTCCAGAATCTGATCACATTTAACAACTCCTCGGCTGCCATCATCTTGGCCTGAGTGATTGAGGGGGTGGCCTACTTGCTGTCCCAGCTTCTTCCCTTGCCTGCCCACAATCTCTTTTGCACACAGTTTTTGAGTCTGATGCTCGGAGGTTGGTGGATTGGCTCTTCTTGATAAATTGGGGGGAAAAATGTCCCAGGAAGGAGAGTTAGGGAGAGAGGAAATGGCATTTATTAAGCTCCCATTCTGCAACAAGACACACGTGAAGTTTTTTAGAGACATTATTTAATTCTTGAGGTCAAAATTGGCAGGAGTCAGACCATGGCACTCCTCTGCTGAAAACCCTCCAAAGTTTCCCATTGCACTCAGAGCAGAAATCCAACTCTGAGCGATGCCTTCCAGACCTTGCAGGGTCTCTGGTGTCCTCTCTGACCTCATCTCCCACTACCCTGTCCCTCCTCCGCTCTCCTGCAGCTGCACAGGTCTTGAGGGTCTGGGACCCTCAACTGAGCTGCTGTAAGCTCAGAGACAAAAGTACTTTCCACTCCCTGTACTCTCCCTACCAGCTGTGGGGGACGGGCTGGGTCCTGTGTAAATTTCACGGAAGCCCCAGGCCATCCTTGGACACTTCACTTCTGGTTTTGTAAATTGAAAGCTTTAGTTCAGGGTGATGGCTTTCGTGATTTGAGATCCTCTCTCAGGGTTCATACTCCCCTTGGAGATGTTTGTAGAATATCAATTACTTTGAAATGTAATTTTCTAGTTTTCCTGGTCTTGTGTAACCAGTGGATTTTGTTAGTCTTTGCCAAGAAAATTGGAGATGAGTGGGCTCTATTGTTCTTGGCTCTTTGGAAATCTGAACTGAGGGTGGAGGAGGTTGTCAGTCCGCCTCATCACAGGTTGTGGTTCTCAGGGCCACTGAGTCTAAAGAAATGATGACGTGGAGGGCGTAGACTTCCTGAGCCTGGTGCATGTCAAGGGAGAAGGAAGGCACTGCTCAAGGGTGAGCCCTGAATTTGGAGACAGCTGAATGCATAACTACATGCCGTTAAGAGCCTGGGCTTCTGAGTCATACAGACTAGAGTGCAAATCCTGGCTTTCTCTCTTGGTATATTCAGCTTCCAGATCTGTTAAACGAGGAGGGTAATATTGCAGGGCTGTAGTGAGGATTAAAGGGAATTGTGTTCAGGGCAGTGCCAAAAAACCAAGTTGCTGATTGCTGTCATCCTCATCTTCACCTCTCTGAGCCTCAGTTTCCTCATCCGTAAGCTAGGGAAGCTGGTGGAGTGAATGACACCAAATATGAAGAGCCCAGAGATGTGCACTGGAAGTGCACAGCATGTCAAGGAGCCACCCCTCCTGAGCACATTTGCAAATGAGCATAGGGCTGTTTTTGCAATTCTAGCATGCAGGAATTACAACTGGGGAGGGGGGGTTGCTAAATGGCAACCAAGGCTATGATGGTCTAGGGCCTGGAGGGAGCTTGCAATTCTGATCAGATGGTGGGCTTTGCTCTTGTTCATGCAACAGACAAATAAAGCAGCTAACGTCATTCCAGTCATATCCATCACAATGTGCAGAACCACCTGTAAAATAAGCTCAAGATCTTTTTCTTCTCAGTCACCAACCATGAAGCCAGAGGGATGTGTTGGGGGATAAGAAGCAATGCAGCACAAGGAGTGTGATGTGATTTATAATAAGAAATATATATTTGGTCTGTCTACCGTCCCTGGCACATAGCTCCTAAAACTCTTGTTGTTTTCTATATAGGAGCCATGGGAGCATGTTTTGTTATAATACTATGTCTTTTGTCATTGCTTCCTGAAGTAGTTCCAGAGCCATCAAATGTTATTTTTCATAACAAGCCCTTTTTGACCACAACTGAGTTTATGTTAATGGAAAGCCCTTAAGGATGGGGGTTGGTTGCCAGGGGAACCAAACACATGATATGGGTTTGGAACTTTTAGTCCCACCTCACTGACCTCCAGGGATGGGAGAGATGCTGCACATTGAATCAGTCACTAATGGCCGGTGATTTAATCAATCGTGCCTTCATAGTGGAGCCTCCATAAAAACCCAAAAGGAGAGGGTTTGGTGAGGTTCTGGGCTTGGTAAAAGTGTAAAGATGCATGTGTGCTCAGAAAGGGCATGGAAGCTCTACACTCCTTCCCACATACCTTGCTCTAGTCATCTTTTTTATTTGGCTGTTCCTGAGTTACATCCTTTTACAATAAACTGCTAACCTAGTAAGTAAGCAGTTTCTTGGGTTCTGTGAGCTGCCCTCACAAATTAATTGGACCAAAGGACGGGGTCATGGGAAACTCCGATCTACAGCCTGTGGCTCATGAAGCACAGATAACAGTCTGGACTTGTGATTGACCCCTAATGAAGACAGAGGGGGTGTTCTTGTAGGACTGAACCCTTAACCTGTGCCCTTAACGCCATCTCCAAGTAGATAGTATCAGAACTGAGTTCAATTGTAGGATAGCCAGCAGGATTTCTTGATGTGTGGGAAAAACTCACACATCTGGTGTCTGAAATGTCAGAATTGGTGGATAATATTTGAGAGTACTGTATGTAACACAAATGAAAATAATGATGTGTTTTTTTCTTTACAAGGAGTCAAATATATGAGTCATCTACTCATAAAAACTGCTTGTGACTTTAGGACCTGCCCAGGCATAATCTCTTATATACTGTTCCAAACGGAGAAGGATTGTTGCTGTGGGTGCCCAATATGAAGACTTGATAGATCAGATTACACATTGTCCATGAGGGACAGCTCAGGTTGCATGGTCATTTGATGTCCTCTGGTTAGATATTCATCTCCACCAGGACTCAGTAGCAAGACAGGAGCTGTTCTTCTAAATCAAAGCAGTTATCTGCAGAATAGGATAGTACTTTTCTCCAAAAGTCCTGGTGCGCTGTGTTTCTTTTATTAGAGCGTTCCAGAACATCCACTCCACATCTTCATTTGCTAAAGATACTGTAAAATTATCATTGGTCCTGCCTAGGTCATAAGGACAAAGTGGCAGAGAAGTTTGCACTGTTTGCTGGAGAGACTTTTCTTGCACTCATTCCTACTCAAATCTGATGCTTAAAGAAGTTACTCAGCAAATGCATCAGAAAAGTACTTGTAATTGTGGTATATGTTGCCTTAAAAATTAAAATGGCCATGAAGCTTTGTGCCTTATTGTAAGAATAAGCATTGCAAGGGCACGGCAATTTGTTTTTTTTAATCTCGAAAGGGATATCTTGACATGCTCTTAACCACAGTCCTCTCAGAAATGTCATCAAAGTAATGGGGTCTGGGGTTTTCATGAGATCCTGTCTTACCTTTCTACTCATGTCTATTTTGTTAATGCATTTAAATGCTTGCTGATTCCTACTCCTCAAGTCAAATAAGCATAATGTTAACATTGTATTGGGCATATGTGGTGTTCTATGATATCAAAATAATCAAGATTTTTGCAGATTATATTATGGTAGAGAGCAAGATTGCTGACTAGCCCAAAGGAAAACTATGAAGGTGTGCAGATAACACTGCCAAGTAAAAGCCAGCTGATTCTGATGGTTCCTACAACTTGGTATAAGGGCAGAAAATGTTTTCCAGGGCAACAGTGTATCCCAGATGCCAGGAGCTGTGGACAGTGAACAGTCCTGTTAAGTGGGGGTGGGGTAAGTTTTTTCCCCCATGTGTCAACTTAGCTAGGCTAATGTCCCCAGTCATTTAATCACATCTGAATCTAGGTGTTACTCTGAAGGGAGTTTTCAGATGTAATTAAAGTCCATAATGAGATGACTGGATAATTTAGGTGGGACTAATTCCATCAGTCAGAAGATCTTTAATGCAAGGCTAAGGGGAGGAAGAGAGATACAGAGAGACAAAGAAGAAAAAGGAGGAGGAGGAAAAGGAGGAGGAGAAGGAGAAAAAGAAGAAATATTTCTTGTGGACAGCAGCTTCAGCCCTTCATCTTCTTTTCCTGATGGCTTGACCTATGCCTTTTGGTCTTGCTTAACCAACCCTTGTAATCATGTAAGCCAATTCCTTCTCTTTCTCCTTCTCTGAATTAATCCTGTCTGATACAAGTATCATCATCCTTTTTTCTCTCTAATTTAAATGATAGCCTTTGTCTCTTTAATTTCCCCCAATTGATTTTGGTTTATTATCCTTTTACAAGAGAAAGCTCCAGGAGTTTCTGCTTGGCATTTCCTCCTCTCACTCCATGGATCAGAGAGCCAGCTGGGGAGTCTGCCAGTTGCTAATTATGTCTATTCCAATTACACATTTATGAACTGGGGA